GAGCATTTTGCCTATTAGTAGCGGCGCCTGATGACTGCAGGCAAGGTGTTAGTGTTAGAGGACTCTGATGAAAAGCCCCTAACCTCGACCACTGATCGTGCGGTCGCATCGGCAGCGCAGTTCGCTTCAGTGTTTGTAAATGAGCAAGCGTCTGTACCGAGTTTGACGGGTACCGCCACAAGGAAACTTTACAGCCTGGATATACACAAGCAGCAGGCCAGTCTTCACGTGACCAAACCAGTCGAGCCTGATGTAATCCATCAGTTTATCCTCAAATTAGTATCGACCATTATCTCACTTTCTGTGAATGAGCTGCTAAACAGGTCAATGTTCAAAAGTTTGTTATCAAACAAATGGAATTGCTCAGTCGTAAAGCCAATACCGAAATGCGGTGCCTCAGGAAAAAGGGACAACTGAAAGCCGATCTATCTGAGCGCTGATTCGTTAGAGCACATGAGAAGATCGTGAAGAGTGGTCTTAAGCAGCCTCTCGAGTTAAAAGCCTCTTGACGTCCGCAAAACATTGCTTGATGAAAGGTCGCTCATGTATCACCAACCTGCTCGTGACGAGGCAGTTGTGGTTGCAAATGCTGAGCCAGGTGAGGTCAGTCAACGTCATGTATATTGACTTCAGTAAGGCGCTTAACAAGGTGAACCATGAGGTCCTGCCCCACCGATTGAGAATGTATGGTGTTGGCGGCTCACTACATAAATGGATCGGGAAATTACTTTTTGTTCGAAAGTGAAGGGTTTAGGTCGACTACCAGCTGACCGACTCGTATCTCCAGAGCAGGGACTGCCACAAGGTGCAGTACTGGCTCCCATTTTGTTCCTGATCCATAGGAACGATATGCCTGAGCTTCCCCCTTCGCCTAGTGCGTTGATTTCAGTTGACTTGAACGTCTGGAGAGTAATCAGTACGTCCGATGACTGTGACCTTCTTCACCGTGACCCTCACCGCTTCTCCATGTGGTCCTCAGAAGTCAAATTTACGACAATCTCGGTCAAGCCGCTATTCATGAGTCGGGTTAAGGGTGGACATGGTTAAACCTATACTGTGGCCGATCAACCGTTGCATCTAACGACCTTCGTGAAAGACCTGACTGTATTTTGGCGCCACGACGTAAAATCCATGGAAAACATTAATAGGCTTTATCAAATCAAACTTCATATTCATAGGGCGCTCAAGCGAAACCTCAACACTTGGTCTGAAGAGATTACCATTAGCCTATTCGTCTCAATCATTCGACAGCTGTTAAACTATGGCTCTCTCGCATAATGTCCTATCACCCGGCGCGAGGTGCAACGAATTGAGCAGGTAAGTATTTGGCCATCAGGCTGCTTCCCACTTTAGAGGCATACCTGACGAAGACCGGTGCAAGGGACTAGGATTCCACATCCTGCCCTACCGTCGAGTGCAGGTTGACCTTATCATGATGCACTGGATATCACATTGTGGTAATTATCACATTTTGAGGCCGCAGCTCCATATAGGCACACTAAACCGCGCAGGAGGACACTGGTATAAGCTTGTAGTCAGATTGTTGAAGTGGGTCGCTGGCCAACTCTACTTTGAACGACGAGTACTGAACTTACGGGATAACTTGCCGCCGCAAGTAGTCGAGGCAAATTCGGTGTCGGAATTCAAGCAATTATTGGGCAAGCATTTGGTCGACATAACATATCGGGAATACCCTTCCATATAAGAGGTCACTGGGTCCGACAGATTTCAGATGCAGCTACTCAGAGACAGCTTATCTGGCAGCTCCGGTACAGTATTCAGGATTCAACTTACGTCTCTGTCCGGTAGTTTAATCAATAAACTAAATATGCAGTGTACTCATTGCTACGGACACATGGGTCATAGTTCACCGTAGCAGTTTCCCGGGTGTAAGACTATTCCAAGCATGCATTCTGCAAGACATGAAAAGATCTTCTGCCATCACAATTTACGGCCGATTATAAACTTGATGGTGCGATTCTCAAAGATGCAGAAAAAAGGCTCATTTTGACATGCAATGCCAAGGATAGGGGAAGCCTAAGCATATTAAAGAAGATCGCATCAGGCCTAGATAATAACAATGGTTATTTAAAAACGTGGCCTGGTTCACCTGATATTCTGTTTTAAATCGTAGTTACTCTAACGTATATAAGGATGGGATCCAAACTTGGCCGCAGAAATTGCATTTATGTAAGGTGAAGTAGCCAAATAGATGGTTGTTATTATCATTCGTCTGGGCACCAAGCTCTTAATGCAGATTTGCAATCCACTGTACATTGCAGACCTTCTAAGTGTTCACTCCTGAGAGAAACTTTCTTGGGTCTAGGTTACAGTTAGCGGTATGGTTCGGTTCATGCCGGTTAGGCAATTATAAAGCCATAAGTGTAAGTTCATCGACTCCGAAAATTATAGTTCTGCAACTGGAACGTTTGGCGAACCCTTTATTCCAAGCTCACCTTATCCATATGCACGCAGAAATACATTCAATCACTTTCCATGGGTACAAGTCGAAACGCTTCTGACTATGCACACAGGCTTCAGCTTAACTAAGAGTGTGTGATTAGGTAGTTGTGAGACAAGAGTGGTGCGAAAGATCTTCACTAGTTTATACAAAATATGTTCTCATAAAGGTATCCGGAACATGAGCCCAAGACATGCATTGCCTTACCCGCAAAACCTGGACCGGTACAATTTTGCAGCTTGGTGTGCTTTTCCACTGAAGTTACCTCAGAGCCACATATAATTGCTTCCACAAGTAAGTGCTAATCAAATCATCATTTCGTTGATGTATGGCTTGCTATTACCGCCGAAGAACGCCTGCCACGGTTCAGTTAATGTAAGGATCACCTGAATTGAAAGTGTAACTAACGAACACCGAACTTCTGATACTTATGCGCTTCATTCGCATCCTTCAGTATTTAGTTGGCAAGCTGCGCTCGTTATATATTAGCTGCTAAAGCAGCCCGTACGGGTTCTTGTAAATGCCGATAGCTTGAGAATCAGATGATTCCACGTCGTATATGCACAAGAAAACCTTGACACATTTGGTATTCGGATAAACTCGGTCCACCCCGGAAACCATTACTTACCAACGTTTGGTCACAGAGTAGCCAAATCGATTAACCTTAGGGGACGAGAACAAATTAGGGCCACAAGGATCATAGAATATAAAAATCAAGCAGGTCAGTGGCGTCAAGCAGTACTCCCAATGGTCTGAGGCAAAGAAGCATGCATGGGTGCAACCGCTTCAGCTAGGTACGAAAGAGCTACAATACTACAGCTGATGCGGAAATGGTTATATGGGTGCGCAGCAATGGTTTCATCTTTCTCAAACCAGGCTACCCGCTTTAGCACAGAGACCCCGAATGGGTAAAAGCATTATTGCTAGTGACGTTTAGCTGCTTAAATTCCCCATGATGAAGGAGCATGTAGTCAGCATCTGTTGTGATATTCGGGTGAATGATGCCGTTTTTAAAAGATTTTCGTGTCTACATAAAGAACATGTCTAGTGAGAATATGCATGCAAGAATCTTGGCGGTTTCCTCGTATGCATTCAAGTCTACCTAACACCAACCAACCTTAGAGCAAGGCTGCATATCTAAGGTGTATACTGGTAAGAATCGAACCAAAAATCTGCAACAACATTTGCAATCCTCCAACTTCATCTGCACACCATGTATTCTTACACAGCCAAAATAAATAAAATAAAACTAACTGACTTAGTAAACTTCCTTTACTAAATATGAACAATCGGTTTGTGGAATCTTTGATTCTGTAGCTAATATAGGAACGCTGAAATCATTAGCATCCGTCATAACAAACGATACTGGGTGTATGCGTTTACTCCGGTATGATCAAGGTAACACGGGCTGACGTACGGCGAAATCGTCATTTTATCGTCATAGATTGTACAGCCTGGTCTTAATTTAAAGATTGGGAGCATGTGTACGCTCACCGTTACTTTGCAATATGTATTTCACAGACAAACCGCGACTCAATATTTGAGAAATGTTGGCTGCCTTCAAACAGATACCATAACAAACCGCTAATCATCTATCTTCGGTATCCAGATTCTACCAAATCTAAGCAAATTGTAGATTCAGTAGACTCATCCATTAGCTTATCAAGCTTCAGAAACTTTTTGCAGGGCAGTGCCAAACTATCTCCGGGGGTGAACTTTCGTGGCAAACTCCTATGTTTTTGGTGCTTTAACCGAGTCGCTAATGTCCATGTGGGATCCCTGGCTTAGCGGAATATGCAATCCCCCTAAGGAAGCAGTTGGAAAGTTTCTCACCAGAAAGTAACAAACACCTGCCAAAAGTAGAACGATAACTTGTAGTTCAACCAAACTGCCAACCGGAATTCAGAAAAAGGGTTTTCACAACTGATCACAGTTACCTTTACCAAGTAGGAGTAATGTCTCTCGAATTCCGGCTAGCTGAGCGCTCGTAAGTTAAATGCATGACGTTTCATAATCACAAAAAGGTATTGATTACTAAAGAAGTACCCAATGACGTTCCGCATAGACACGGCAACAAGCGTCTAGCCAACTGACTGCATAGCAGAGAGGAGTGACACCACAGACGGAAATTGGTAAAGCTAGATTTAGTTATGGATACAATTTTACGAGCCAGCATTTAGTGTTCATCCTATGGGACAGACAACCAACAGCCCCTAAAACGTTGGCATGAATGCACATCTGGTTTGCGATGGATAATAAAATAGGCAATTTTTGTGAACGAAGGTCACGCGCAGTCACATGTCAGTAAGTAGATAAGGGTAATTGATAAATGAAGAATATGCCCGGACAAAATAACCTACTTAGCGCCAGAGTTTGCTAGAATGATAGGTTTTCCATATGACTCAGAGCAAATGGTGTCGGCAGCTTCAGTAAATGCTGTGTAACGCTACATAAAATTAAAATGCGACAACTGCTATTAGGTTTCCTTCATCTTGTAGTATTGGAACTAAATAAACCGTGGGTTTCCTAATTGGCTTACCAGATTGGTCGGTGATAACATATGCAATGTAGGATGTGATTCAATCTTTGGAATGTTTGCATGGTTGAAATATGGGCCGGATAATTGTTCACCAGTAGTGTCATCCGTGAATCCAGGTAAATCACCCATCAGTAAACTGAAATCATTAAGCTTCTTCGGTAGAGATGTAAGTGGTGAAGACTGAATTTGATCGAGATACAATTTTTTCACTTTACCATACCATACACGTTGCGTTAATCGGTAAGTACGAATGCATCTTGTCAGGATGATGAAGGCGTCCAGTGCGAGCAACAGCAAGCGAACTTGTGTAAGGCTGAGCAGGTATATAGCTGAACTCGTGGAGCTGGGTCTTAGGCGCATCCCAATTTGAGTAGCGTAGCGGTAGGGTCTCGTCCGTCTGCTTCTTTAACAAGGGAATGTGTAGAAGAGGTGAGAAGTTTGACAATGAGAGTAAAGCCATACCTGAATTTATATTTACAGACAATTAAATAATCCATGGGGAAAGACAGCAATGGCAATGTATCGCAATTTTATTCATATAATGCTGGCTTCGCAGTCATCTCGGTTTCTGGTTTATATTTCACATATGAAGTCAATTTTCCTGAGTTCAGTGAACTGGAATCCCTACACGTTAATTCGGTTAACCGTGATTAAATTTTGGCTCAATACTGCATCTAATAGCTAAAACAATTGGTGCTAAACCATTTTTATACGCTACGCTCGAATTCTTTAGAAAAATGATAACGTTACCAAGTGGCTTTGGCGACTGGGAAGGAGGCGATAAAACTTACTGCACTAAGCAGTGAGTCGAGATTTGAGCTGACAGACGCACGACTGAGTCGAGGTAAATGAGTTTCTTCCAAAACGCATAAATCCCCCCCCCATCACATCTCTACGCTGTGTGTGTGCTCTCGGTCAATAACCGAACTCGGTCATGAAGACAGAACGTTTGATTGAGGTTGCACTGGACCGTTTTGATCGCACAGTTGATTATCCCTTACTGGTTAATTGGCACTGTATTAACAATTAGTTGATCTAAGAAGAATAGTGTTTGCCGTGAATTCAATCCATCACATCGTAAGTGCCTACTAGTTCGCAAATTAAGTAAACGAGGTGGTTTGATCAATCAGCCAGAATTGAAAATATTTCCATTTAATGGAGTGTATTTGCGCCACTTTTTTAACGAGTTCTATGTGTTTTGGTTTAGATTGTGCTAATTAGACTCACTGTTTTGATACCTCTGGAATGAGTGGGGAGAATTAACATGTAATTGCGCATTTATAACCTACCTTTCGCTTCTGGAAGGAAAGCTGACCTAACATTATTAGCCCAGGAAAGAACCCCTAGATACTTGCTCCAGCTGAAATTTCATGGTACACTTCATCCATTACTTTGCCTTGTCTGAGAAATGGAAAGCCAACACAGTTGCACTATACTTCCACTGACGGACCACAATGGGCATAAATAACCTTCATGGAACACTTCCGTTTATTATTAGGTACCAGCAATCCGAGATTAAGAAACTAGAAAACCGTTGAGCCCTCGCTTCAGCACGTTAATTCAGTGTCGGAATAGTTCGACGAGCGGTGCTTTCAGCCATTTGTACAGTTACTTTGGAGGGATTATTTAATTAGAATGGCAAGGCCCGTGGCGGATCTGTACGCTATCGGGCGCAACCCCAACTTCCGGTTTGGGGAATGCCATTTTTGTAGAGATAAGTGCGAATAAGTCTCGTCTGCTTTGCAGGCGAAACGAATAAGCAGTCGTGGACAATCAGCAGCAGCGTCTCATAGCGTGGGGAATTCTGAGTTGGTTAACTGGTTCCCCGTTAAGTACCACAAGTGTTCGTACGGCGCTGTGTCGAAGCCAATGTGACCGGCTCTAGGGTCACTGACTACGCACTTCTGTCACCAGAGGCGTGTATATCTAACAGTGAGTGGATGAACAACCCCTCTGGGCACCAGTTTCTCTGTGGAGAACAACCGAACACAAAAAAGGCGAATGAGCCAACTGGCTGCCCATGGCCTTTGTATTCGCCCCGCTGCCTTGCGTGTCAGGTCACTAATACCAAAGGTTCGGGGTGGGGTCTCTTAAGTCAATACTCTTCCTCGGCCTGCGCAACCGGGAAGATTATTATGCACGCAAAGCATGGACCATTGCATTTTTCCCTCTGGCTCTTTTCCTCATTGCTGTTGTTGTTTCTCTTATGTTGTAGCGTTATGTCAAATGTTTATTGGACAGGTGTTATATTTATATATATAGCATGGTGAAGCGTACCAAATCATAAGATAGTCGCTGTCACGAAGTAAATTCTTTTGCATCCTATCAATTTCATGTGGTAAGTGCAAACCATTGATCAAAAGCACATAGAATGTGCCGCAGATAAGATTGGAAGCAAAGCGTACAGTGCACACTGTTCCGTTGCTACAATTGGCCTGGGCACAATATTTCTAAAAGTATATACTTTAATCTCATTGGATTTACTTCACTAGTTTTTTAATATGTTGACCGGAGTAGTGTTACTCAAGCGGAAGCATTGAAGAAAATTAGTTTGAGACTTTTAACAAAATAAAGATTAACTCAGGCACCCCTAACTATGTTAATCACCGCTAAGCATATCAAGTCTGCCTCACTTCGACATGGACATTTGTGTACAGAACATGCTATCGGGTTTGTTTTTTCGTCGTTAATAAAAGAGCCACTGGCGCCAAAGACTTACAGAGATCTTGGGCTAGTTACCGGATGACAGACGTACAACTGAATGGGTGCGAACCTATTTACTATAAAGTTTTGGTAATGCTTGAAGAAACTGGGATCGTGACCTGCAGGTATAACAGATACCATCCAAAGTAGTTTCCGTTTATAAATTGTATACATAAGCTATATGCGAAGTAGTTTTCTGGGCTGGAAGTTCAGATATAAGCTAATGACAGTGGGTAGCTAAAATGTCAACTGGGAGGTAAGCTTAATTCTCTGTCTCGGTAAAGCTACGACTTCAGTTGCCCTGACCTCGCCGAGGCTGCATTAATAAGATAGCACACATTCCAGCACAATGTTACAAGATCAATTCTTTTATTTTGACTCGATATTTCTCGTAAAATAACTTTGGAATATAGCTATTTATGACTTTCACTGTACAGCTCATAACTGCTGAAGCAAGCGACTGGTCATACCCCAGTGACCTATTATCTTGCGACTGAAACCGACGGTCACTGAGTTCTGAATTGTAGATCGACTAAATATATGGCATGCATGACAGCTCAGCACTTGCGGTTTTGCATTTCAAAATCATTTTATGATAGATAGTACCAAGAGGCGTACCCAAATTTCCGAAATATGTAAGTGGTAGATAGTTGAAAAATGGGTGTTACCTGCAATGGACATAAGCTTACTATAACGATCTCAGCCTCATGTTTAAAAGTGACCACCAAAAAATGACAGATAACAAAAGGACTGCGATTTTCTCTAATTGGTACCGGCCAGAAAATGTGGTTATTTAGTCTCGTCAACATATGATGTACCCGATAGCGCAGTTAGCTGACTTATTTGATGATATGCTCATATAGGTGAGCGCGATTTTATTTGTATCAGCATCAAATAATGCGAAGAATAATTGTACGCTTTTAAACTAATTTACCGCATAGTGCCACTCAGCTTGCGGGTGTTAGTGAATGCGACCACCGTATTTTATTTCTAATGGGGACTTGTAAGTTGAGGGGACTTGCGGATGAAACTGTACGTACAAAGCGATTTGGATGGACCTCATAGGCAGGAGCACGAAGATTTCTCTCAGGTAAGCAAAGAATAGTTCTTCAATTATTCAAGCACTTCCAACATAGGTGGCGGAGATTTTCAATATTTCATATGGTAAATTGCTATGAATTAAACGATTTAATGTTGTGAAATCTTGTACGTTCAGACTGACACATATACCCAGATTACGCAAGCCGACCTTGTCAACAGCGCTCAACTACAAGCGAATGTCTCCTGGCAGGAAAAGAAAGCTGACGCTAGCATAGTGCCCATCAAATGACGACTTTGAAATAGCTATGGCCGGACATGAGAAATATCGTAACACTTGCGTCTGTAAATTGCAATATCCGTCACATATTGGACATTCAATATATTGCCACATTCTTCATTTGAAAACAAGCGATTTGTCTCGGTAGGTGTTACCAATGGGTACGAAATTTTGACGACTTTTGCTTGATGTAAGTACGCAAGTAAGTAAGGAATAGTTATAAGCTTTTATGAAAATGTAAACTTGTTAAGCAGGGTACAGTTTATTTTGCGAGAAAAATGAGTCACTTGAACCTTTTACTATCTGTAGGCCTTTTTGAACGTATGCATCTACCCGTGATTCAAGTGAACGTCTAAAACCACGGAGTACAGCACGACTTCAAACGCTTACTAACGAATGTCCGCCAAGCAGAAGCGATTTGGGGAAGCTTTGCTTCTCCTTCTTAGGCGATGAGCCTGAGCTTAATTCCTATCTAGTAGATAGTAGCAGAACAGTGGCTACGTCTGACGGAGCATAGGCAGTTATATGGAATTAGATTGCCACTGCCATTGCTGAAACTTTCTTCTGTTCAATTCCACTGCAATGTAATGTATGGTTAAGGGTCACTGAAATGGTTGTTAACCACATTTTGTTGCGATAAGTGAGCAGAAGTGATATTTAAAGCTTTCAGCCCCAAAAAGAATAGATAAGCACGTTAAAATTAAAAATAGGCCATTTTGACCAAAGATAACGTTAAACATTTCGCCAAGTATCTAGGGAGTTAGCAATTATAGCAACAATCCACTTCAGGAAGTCCGGGTCATGTGGCGTTCAGACATCTTCATTAGCTGAAGTCTAGAACATCACCAGGTGCAAGCTATAGCTGTAGCCCCGTCACGCTCAAACGATTCGCTTGAGTTCTACTGTAATGTTCTTGCCCACTGAAGGAGTATTTGACGCTTGGTATCCAAGTGTTAGGTTGCTGCACGGCTGTGCACCCAAAAATCGACCGTTTGGGGGAAGTCGGTCTAAATGTCTCCCCAGAAAACGAATTGCGCTATACATCGAGTGTGTGAATGGATCACAATCTACCTGGCAACGTGATATATTCGTCTACCTAATTCGAATAGGTGCAGCAACTTAGGTAGGGTTTTTGACGTTCATCGGTCAATACGTACGCCAACAGTCATATCGGGCTAACACACCACACAAAGGACTACTTACTTTTCGCTTCGGAGTACACCTGTCAATGATGAACGATTACAAATACCAAAACAGCGTATAAACTGGATAGACTCAGCTGGACGAGAATCGAATGAATCTTTGGCTCCTAATATATCAATAGTTGGAAAACAGTTGCGTGCCATTCAACAGGGTCACGTGTGGTTATGAGTCATCGAAACGCTAATGTAGTCTTGAAGCTATTACCGAATATAGGTTAACTAAGTCAGCATTATACCGAATAAATGAGGCCCACAAAATCGAGTTTTTCCCAGAAATGATTTGATATACATAGGAAGATGATAAAATGAGCGGCTCACTGAATTAATCTCTAAGATTCGAAAACAATAGGTTGACTAAACGTTTGATGAAAAGGCAAGCGACTTAAACTTAGAACTTCATGCTGCTTTATTGCTTCACCAATTTCAAACTAGCAGGAAAAAATACTTTAACAGGATACGCTGGATTCAGGTCTTTTGAATGTTCGCCTCAGCTCTTCACACACATTGGCGAAATTATCGCGTAGCGTACAAAAGTGGAAGCAATGTACAAGGTCATTCAGTTCAAAGGAAAACGATCAGTAAACTCACCAAGGTAGAGCGAGGCTGGCCATAAGTCCAGTCTGCCTGCACACATTGGACTTAAGGCGCCGAGTAGCTGAGGCTTCAGCAAACTGAAGCAATCGGACATTGCTCTGTAGGTTGCTTAATTTAAACAAATCACGAGGACGTTGGCAAATTGTGCAATCCAGAACGTGTTGGGCAATAGAGCTAGCCGACAGTTTTGGACCGTTAGCGACCACATTACCTAGAATGTGCCCTGAAATCCTAGTGGATAACCTCCTCTCAGTTGGGCCAACGTACTTGTTGCCACAAGTACAGTGGGATTAATAAACACAGGAGACGGTACCGTGAGGGTTTGGCTTGTCTAGGTTGGATTTGTAGGTTAACTTCCTAACTTGGTGCAATAACATCAGTTCGGCCGCTTAATTTCAAACTGCCTGGCGGAGACGGTGCTGTGATCTTCTATCGTTTTGTTCGCCTTTAAATGGCAACTTAATGAACACTTTTCTTGGGAACAATTATCAAAAGGCTTCTTACTAATTTCTGTGCTTGCATACGGAACTATGAATGTCGCGTGGTATCCATTTTTCTGTAGTGTTGATGACACACGTTCTAGTTCACTGTCGATTGTATCATCGGAACAAACTGTACGACCTCTTGCGAAGGCAGGGCGGACCAGTGCTCATTGGCAATATATAGGACAGAAGCTGTTGAAGTTCATATATTGTCCTGTTCAAGTAGGCTTTCTATACACAGATCGAGTTAGTGTGCAATCTGCATTCCTCTTCAGGTGTACATCTAAGAAATGGAAGGTGATGTCCACCTCGCTTTTCATTGGGAATTTGATCGCAGAGTGACATTTATTAATTAATGTATTTATTACCTGGTGGAACTGGTGTTATTGCACCAAGTTAGGAAGTTAACCTACAAATCCAACCTAGACAAGCCAAACCCTCACGGTACCGTCTCCTGTGTTTATTAATCCCACTGTACTTGTGGCAACAAGTACGTTGGCCCAACTGAGAGGAGGTTATCCACTAGGATTTCAAGGCACATTCTAGGTAATGTGGTCGCTAACGGTCCAAAACTGTCGGCTAGCTCCATTGCCCAACACGTTCTGGATTGCACAATTTGCCAACGTCCTCGTGATTTGTTTAAAGTAAGCAACCTACAGAGCAATGTCCGATTGTTTCAGTTTGCTGAAGCCTCAGCTACTCGGCGCCTTAAGTCCAATGTGTGCAGGCAGACTGGACTTATGGCCAGCCTCGCTCTACCTTGGTGAGTTTACTGATCGTTTTCCTTTGAAATGAATGACCTTGTACATTGCTTCCTCTTTTGTACGCTACGCGATAATTTCGCCAATGTGTGTGAAGAGCTGAGGCGAACATTCAAAAGACCTGAATTCAGCGTATTCGGTTAAAATAATTTTCTTATTACTATTTTGCACATTGTACTTTTCATTACCATCAGTTGTGCTCTGATTTACAAGCTGCACCACTAGTGCAGTTCATTTGATATTTTGTCTGAATAGGTGTAAAAGCATTCGCAAGGTGCTGGACCTCCACCTAAGTGTAACTTGACGTTCAGACGTATTGATTTAACTCGTTTTGTGAGAGACTGTGTGAAGCATTTCACTGCCCTCTGCTTTGGAAATGAACTGCTTTTAATAAGGGGTGATAGTGAAGTGTAAACATCGAACTTAATTCGCTTCAATGAAGGTGCACCGACTGGTAGGTGACCCCCCATTGCGTGAAGGTAGTAAAATTTGAAGCTAACGACTTCCTTACCTTGGTGCTTCGAATCGAAATTCTTCCAGATTACCACCATATATGTGTTGTCGGTCATCCGTAGAAAAGAAGTATCGATGATCATAAAAAGGTGTAGCGACCGGTGTTAGCTCAGATAATCGACTTCCTCCAAGGTAGAGTTGACTAACGTCATAGTGAAAGCGATTCGGAAGAGGAAGCACAAGTCTTCTGAAGCTGCAAAACAAGAGAAAATTAAAGTTCGAATTCCTACCTTATTTACCTAAATCACAGACACACAACCGCAGATATGCCATGAGAATTCGGTTGAGTGGTCGCCAGGGAGAACGTTCAATTTCATTATTCTTACAAACATATGCGGGTATAAATATCCAACAAATGTTTAGAAGGGCAAATTAGTTGGATAATCAGCGCGTTACATAAAGTCGAATAATACCATAAAACCTCCGAAGTTGACAACTTCCCTAGACTAACCGCTATTTTGCTTGCTTAACCATTCTGCATGAAAAACTTACGAATTCAGATCACTGTATGTTGACCACCTCTGTAGCTTGACCAATTTTGTGTACTCCGTTTATTGATCAGCTACAGTAGGCAGACTGCATTCGAATTGGTAATTCTATTCAATAGTAAGCTACTGTATAGGAGGAAGTAACAGGTTCTGGGAGGGAATCCCACATGTGACAAAGACGTAGCGTGAAATTCCATCTACATTCTAGCAGGCTATGTCGTCCTGCCAATTTGAATCGGTGGTCTCTCTGTTGTCTCGGCTACGCTTTTGCACTTGATAGCATGAGTGGTTAGTTACACAAAGTAGGTAAGTCATGATAAGTTCGTCATACAAACACCGCTGGTTTCCACTGAAAACCGAAAATTCTCAGGCGGTGTTTGCAAAATAACTGGTATAAACCTTTACTGTTTCTTGTTGCCTGACATGATACAGTGAGATCCCGCTTTTGCCATGGCTGCCAAACTCGAATCGAGTATTTTGCGCGTGGGTCTTTGTCTGTGGAAGGCAGTTGGAAATGAATAGATGGGTCGAAGCGACCAAAAGCTCTCATTAAGAACCCCAAGTTTTGATGCTGTTGTTGATGCTAGCGAAAATTACTCCGAGCAACCAAGATCTTCCTTGATTAGTACATCGAGATATCTTTCACGAGAACAGGTCTGGAGAACCTGCTCGCCCAACTTATGTACGTGAACCACTATTAGATTCAGTACTCGGCAGTTGGTCACGTGAACTGCACATAATTGTGGAGTGAACATAAATAAATCTTGTCGAGGTAGTTTTGAAACTCTATACGGTTGTCTGGATCGTCAGTCGGCCATTAAACTTTGGTATTATCGGCATCAAGCCAAAACTGTGAAATGATTAAGCTCACTAGATTGGTGATGAAAATCAAAGGTGACTGCTACTATTTTCCAGTTTCTTTTCAAAGACTGTGTTCACAACTAAAACTGGGATTATCGTTTCTTAGAAATTTGCATAGGCTGTGCATTTCGGTTCTTGGGACACAGTTAGATTTAAGGAATGAAATAATTGAGGTTATACACGGTCCGCCGTTGGTGCGCCCGTATAAAGTAGAAATCAGGAACCTTATTACAAAGAACAGCGAAGGCAGCAGACGCACTACACGGGTGCGAAAAGGTTTGAATACTGAATACAAAATATAGAGCCATTGGATATATATCTGTGTTGCTCCATCGTCCTTAGCTCGGGGACGTAGGCGGAAATTCGAAACGGATTCCTGCTCGTTTGCACCATGGCCTATTCAGGAGCGATGCGCCCTACAAATTGATGACCTACAAAATTGATGTCAAGAAATTGCTTGAATTACGCCACTGATTTCTCCTCGACTATTTGCCCGGGCAAACTGTTCCAAGATTCCACCACTCTCCGCTTGTAATCGAGAGTGAGCTATCTGCTTTAGATCTGGTACCACATGCTTGCACGAGTTGCCACAAAGACTGCTTAGTGTGCACATCTGCAGCATGGACATCAGCATGGGAAAAGGACGCAGATATAATATCCATTGCGTAATCACGAGGTTTATTGGAAAGGGATAAATGGCAGGGTGTCATTCCCATTAACCCGCATCCGTTTTCGAACGATATCCCAGGTAGGTTAACGCTGAGTCTAGTAGCTGCATGCTGAACCCGTTACCCTTTTGGCACCTCGCCACGGATGGTCTGACAATAGGCGAGTGGTAGGTACTCGCGTATAGACCTTACTATGGAAGTAGAAGAGGCGCGTGGAAATCTCTTCAGACCAATTACAGACGCTGTGTTTAAACACCTAAAGCATCTGCAGTCTATTTCCATACAGCTTGTTCGTGTTATCTACGGACTTCAAGTTGCAAACTGTGAATAAACCGAGAGTTTTCACGGAAGGTGAAAGATGTAGCGGTTGACCGGTCAGAGTGTAGATACACCCATCACCACTTTTGCGCAGGCTCGGAAAAACAGTTGAATGGATTGACCTGCAGATCGACCTCAGCAGACCATATGGACAGATGGTAGTGGTCAAGCTGAAGTACATCGCAGTCGTTGAGAACATCAGTTACTGTCCACATTTTCAGGTTGTTTGCAAACAGGGCACAAGAGTATTGAAGAAACTCAGGTAATACGTTCATTTGGATCAGGTACAAAATGAGCTCCAGTATTGCACGCTGGGGTACGCAGCTGTTGGAAGAGTATCAGTCCGTTAGATGGTCTTCCATGTGTACGCTTCATTTTCTTCTAATTAGGAAAAGTCGAGTAGCGCAGTGAACCAACAACGCTGCACATCCTCCGCTTGTTGACGATGACCTCATAGTTCAGTTTGTCGAACGCTTTACTGAAATCAAACTTGATCACATTCACCGACTTCCCTTGGTTCAACGCGTCCAACTATTAATGCCTCATCACCAAGAGATAAGTGATAGAGAAGCGCACCTTCATGAATCCGTCCTGTACAGGCGCCAGAAGGTGTTTTGAATTCAGTAGCTGCAGAACAATCTTTTCACGATATTTTCGAGCAGTTTGGCTAAAACGGAGGTCAGACAAATAGGTGGATAATTGTTCGTGAGAATTGGGTCATCACCTTTAGGAATTGGTTTCAGTACCGACTAGAAATCTTGTGGCTTGGCAACCCACCTTCGGACAATGATCTGTTGACCAGATCAGTCCCGGAGGGCAATATGATTGCCAACAACGACTTGCGAATTAGCGGGTGGATGCCATCAGAACCAGAGGTCTTAGTGCTGTCAAGACTGCCAAGTAGATTGGGGACATCATTCACATAGAAATGCAGACTCTTGAATTCTGAACGGGCTGCAAACTTGGAGCTTGGTATAGACACGAGACCAGTTGCAAATATAGGAACAAAATACGTTGGCATCGCGGACGCACTTTCAGTGCTGAAAGTCAGTGGCTGTTCGTCAGAGCGCTCTAATACTGCTGCATAATATACGGGTCTAAAGTATCAGTTCACACAAGCGAAAATTAGCTTGGGAGAGGTCTTCCCCGCGGTTGCAAGGTCCTCTTTGAATTATCAAAGCTTCTATACTATTGCGCTGTTGCACAGCTTCCCTTGCCTTTTGTACACATCGTAATAATTGGCAGAGTCTGACAGGAGGAATTTATTTAGCCATACGCTTCGCCGTCTAGCCAACTGGCCATACTCTTTGTCTAACCAATGTGGCTTCACTGGTCCAGTTTTTTGTCACTTGTGGGGTAGAAATTGAGCGCAAGACGATTTAGCACCTTCTTTTATAATAGACCAATAGGATTTAACAGTTAAGTTCTACGCAGTGACCAGTCCACTCGACTAGCTGCTCGAGTGAGACCACTTAAGTCAGTCTTCCATTAGTTGTAGGATGGCTCCAGCTGGCGCAAGTATGGCAGCGAGAGCTCAAGGCTGGTCATGGTCATCGAGTGATTGCTCGATGCTAGAGGCTCCGGGGCCAAAACATCACACACACGCTGTTCGCTGCTACTCAACATCAGGTGTAGGCACTGTGAATCTAAGTGCGTTGTAATACTCATCGGCTAGTAGATGGGTTCTGCTGCCTCGGTTTCGAATATTATGTCAGCAAACTCTGCTTCGACTTCTCAATGCCCTGGCGGAAGTCGAACCTCAGGCCAGTGTATTCAAAGGAACTTATAAGCACCCATGTGCAGGAAGGGGGACGACTCATATGGTTTGGGACATGTGTCCCATCTTTAAACTAATAACCAGTCATCTATCAATGTCGTGTCAAATCCTGACGCAACTGTTCAAATGTCCATGCCTGGTGTTGTAAAAGTTGTGACCATCGGCAAATCGCTGCGTATTCATCTCCGTACCCATTTCTGCTGCACATAGGGAGCAAAAGGAGTATTTATTAACTCTGCATGCGATTTGCAATTTCGCAATCATTCGCTAGCGGAGGGAATCTAATTACCTGTGAGACATAGTGAAGTCCGTCTGGGGTGTGATGTCTAGTCCTCTCCACCCAGTCAGCGACTGCCCCTCAGGCGAGGTCCAAAAGAAGATGCAAATTAGTTATGCAAAAAATATCCGAGGCATGAGCTTACTTTCTCAGCCAGCAAGCACATTGTTACTACTGAAGAAGGTGAGGTGCCTATTTTGCCTTAGCCCTAATCAGCTTCTACAGATTCAACCTGGTTTAGCTAAATTGATGGACAATATCCACGGCAAGAATAAGGAATAGAAACACTAGTATGCTGTGGAAGGTGGTAACCAGAAGTTGGCTAGGGACCTGTCACTAGCATCAATACTCGATTAATGTAAACAGACGAATTGGTATCGTGGTATACATCCTTCAATCTGTGAATTCACTAGACAAATGGCAAAACCAGTTTCACACAAAACGACACAAATGAATGGAAATGAAACGGTCTTAGACCATGGGAGCAAGCACACGAAGGGATGGAGCAAACTTAGCCAAGTAGAATGAGCTAAAAGTGAGCTAATATGATTACTAATATAATAGGAAACGGGTATAATCAACATCATATAGCGCATTTGCGTGACATCCAGCCTCGATGAGAAGTTTTTCGGTTAATCGTCAATACTCATGAAAACACTGCCAAATGGTTTCACGTTTCTACGTTTCCCATCTTCGTGAGCAGTAAAATACGAACAGAACAACCACTCTGTCCGAAGTATTATATCAGCCGATTTGCATTACAAGCAGATGAGTGCCAGGAGTACAATGGGCGATTGGTGTGACCTTGTTTAGCTGAGATTCAACGATTCTGCATAGCTCCTATAGTCTGGGGTTGTCCTATTGGTCAAGACAGTCATCGATAAACCACTGCTTGTGTGATCTGACTAACTTCAACCGATTACTTTATTACTATAATAAATATAATAATAATAGGTATATTTCTCTTGGTGAGCTCAACTGTGTCTACAGCGGCACAGATCAATTTGTGCAGAAGAATCCATGCTCTTGCATGGGTGGCATGTTTAGGTGAAGTATTGGGATATGCGTTTTATGTATTAACATTCTAGTAGATGGTTAAGGCCAAAGCGTAGTTATGAAAACACTGGTGTTTATATGTTTTGGGCCCCACGTGGAATAGCTCATCGATTGATTCTTCCCATGTGAATATAGAGCTTAGTGTAGTTAGATCAAGGTAATTGGTGAGTCTGCTACTAAATGTTTCCCCGTTGTCACATGATCTGAGAGTTATTGGTAGTTTATTCCACAGATTGCTGTAGCTGACCAAGAAGAAATTAGAGCGGACGTTCATTCTAGCCTTCGGTATATTCAATGTAAAATCTTTGTTACGAAGCGCTCGAGTTGAACATTGCTGTAAACTGAGTGTAGGCAGGTTGGAATAGGTCTTTTTGTGTAACATGTTGAAAAGCAGCAAAAGTTATGCTTCAGTCGTCGAATCCAAAATGGTTCGAGATGAAGTTCATTGCAACATGCTCGATAACTCATAGCAGAGTATTTAGCAATCTGATGTTTAGTAACTGACCTCTGCAGGTTTTCTTCTCGACAATTCTGTCACCCTTTCTCATATTTCCCTATATTATGCTGCAGTATTCGAGGATGGGGCGAGTGAGTAGCTTGAAAAGCTCAACTCTAACACGAGTTGTGTGTATTTTGTTTGATATATTGAACATTGACTGTCTGGCACGTGCTACTTGGTATTGGGCTTTTGGGAGAAACTGAAGGTAGACGAGTACCAAATACCAAGATCTCGCTTGGACAACTGTGTAGGAACGCGTTCATTATTTAGGGTGATGGATCCTTCAGGGATGCAGCAACCGTAAGATATGATGCTTGATTTCTTAGCCGAGAGGTTCATCAACCATGTGCAGCACCATGACTCAAAGGATTGTAAATCCTCTTGAATGACCACACACATTGATGGTGACTAAATTTGAACTAGATTTGTTATGGCTTATACTACATTAGGAAGGCGAAATACATTGCACGAGCGAAATAAGTGTAAAATCTCACGCATCGTAAACGACTATATTAAATCGGGTGAGACGTTAACTCGGTGAAAGTTAATGCTTTACCACTTTCCTTTACTCACTTGTTCCATATCCGTGCACCGGTCAGACGGGCCTGTTCGGGCTGCGGCACTCCCAGGAATCTGGCTAATTTGAGCGACTTTGCCTCTATTCGCTGTCTTTGTTCAGGGGGACTCCTAGAGGATTGTTCCTCACGATTGGCATAGACAGTGTTATCCAGCGCACCGGATAACCGTGGGTCACCGGCTGCGGAAATGGTGGCGAGGTTATTCACGTGAAGCCATGTGGCGTTCATTGCCCGCCGAGCTGGGGTAATCCAAGAGTTTTCTAACAGACGATTTAACAGCCGATCAAAGGGAGCCCAGCAGTCAATGACATGTGTATCCAAATCATCACGAATCTAGATTCGAGGAGGAAGAAATACAAGTTTATCTGCTTTGTTCAATATGATACCTATAATTATATTATAATGTCCTATACTGGTATTCGTATTGCTACGTGGGATCTTACGAGCAAAGAAGCGATGAAGCGAAGTTCCAATTGGAATGGAATGTATGAAACGAAACCTACCAGAGAGACTATCAGTTAGCTAAGAATGCTCCAGCTTTGAGTGATTTGTGCGGCGAAAGCGTATTTTCTTACATACAAAATTATTGGGTACTTACCCACGTGTCAAATGTGTTGCTTTGAGATGAGACTGGGAGGTGGAAACACTAGTGCAGCATTAGTCCTCAGATACTCAACTTTCGTCTCATTTAGCGTCAGCCTGTATAGTCATCAACTCATAAACAGGGGTACTAACTTAAAATCTACCCATCTCACAAGATAAGTAGGGCGATGCGTTGGGACGATGTGATAGAATAAACGGTATCATTGTCCACCAGCAACACTGCTTTTCTGCAGAGCGAAACACTACTCAGCGGTGCAAACCAGAGTGTACTAACGCTTTTATCTTCTATGAGCGATACGTAGAAACGACTACAAAGCATCGACCATCAATTATCGCTTTTTACCTCTTTGCTTTGGCTCTCGTTTAAAATAATAGTTTATTACTGCTGGTTCCACCCTGAAACATTAGATAAGTCCGAGGTGGAAATTAGAGCAAATCGACCAGTAAGTATGCAATTTTCTTGACTCATAACGAAATCCAGTGGCATAACTCTTCTTATGTTTGTTGTCAGTGGATAACATTTTTCTTTCCATTTAATAGCCTACGGGATCGTCCACTCACGATACTGCATTTGACGATAGCTTTTGTTATATTTCCCATTCATTAGGTAGAGACAGCAGAACTGCGACTCGAATTCGAATCACTTGGGACGAATCTGCTACGCCAAAACCAATGAGTCGCAACGGGTGGCGGTTGTCACAACGGCGAATGACTCGCTGGAAGCTCATCTTGAAGCAGTCGTTGTGGTTGTTGTTGCTGTGTGTATGTGTAAATAGATCAAGACGTACAATTTTAATCAGGACCGTGATTCACGTTTAAGTGAATTCAATCAACTTAATCATTCCAACCACGTTTGAAGCAGATGAGTGTTAATTGATCGAGTTGAAAGAAATTCGTTTCAATGTAGCATGTTGCTCTGAGGTGTGCTGAAATTCATTCATACAAGTGCTTCAGAATGGCCCTTACATTGAGCCTATTGATTACTTCTCTTGCAAATTTCAGGCATCTAGGAGGGGGGGGGGTGCCAAATGAAGACCTAACATTTGAATTTTTCTGTCAGCGGAATAATCATAGGATGTCCACAACCACTAGATACACGTTACAACATCGTGTGGCAAACTTGTGCATTATTAGCGTTTTATTCGTAGCTCTAAAACACAATCTCACCTTTCCAAGAAATAATTCACAAATATGAAAATTAAGAATAAATGGCAAAAACCACAAAACGAGGTGGAAGGTATTCGAACAGCTCCTCGGGTTAATGAAGTGTGCATTTTTCATCCATCTTGTGTGCTATATCAAAGCAGAACGGCAACGTTGAAGAAGTCTGTAAGGTTCCCTTGGGAATCAAACTGGGCAGACCGAGCAACAAGTGAGGCACTTTCGCTGCTTAAGTGAAACTTTTTCAATAAACAGACAGTTTTCCATTTTATTGCAATGTGCTTTAATTGTGAAAAACAAGCAGTTCTACAGTATACTGGAGACTTTTGAGCTAAGGGTGATTATCTTTTGGTTTGCTCTCACCTTTTACTGGTTAGCAGGTGCAAAAGACATAACTTTCACTTCTACACACTATAGCAGGAATGGAAAAACAGAAGTATGTTCCAAACTGACTATTAACTTGACGATATATCTACTTAACACTGCTTTTATTCAACGGAAGTGTTAGCTACATTCAATAAATATGAGTGGCTTAAATACTTGGAAATTTCTATCCACGACATCACTTGAAATCAAATGAGAGTGAGGCTCCCTCGCGTGCCTTGTCATTAAGATTACATCGATATGCAATGTCAGGCACACCTGTCATCTGTACTAACGAATCCGCGTCCAATGCTTCGCATGCATATCAAGTATGTACCATAAATTACGACAGGTTTATCTAAGGGTGTAAGAGAAAAACTATTTTCTTACAAGCATGGTGCACTTAGACTTTTGAAGTAGAGATGAGGCAAGAACTAACATGAATTGGTACTTTTCTGGTTTTTCTAGTCGGAATAATAAAGGTTAATGGCTTTTTGCAAAATAAAGCTGTGAATTTGCAACAAATATCAAATACCTGTTAAGCGAAAGCGTGTGGCAGACAGTTGAATAATTTGCTGAAATAGAGTGGCTAGAGCTCACCAATAAACTTTTATATGTAGAGATTTCCGTAACGACCTAGGTATTCTCCGGAAGATAAAAGTCTGTACTCAGCTTTACAGATATATGCGAATTTATTGTCCAATCTTCCTTTGATGTACAATACAAATATGTTCCTATGAAAATCTGTGGTAGCGTTTGAATACAACGCTTGAGTTGAGCACCTCATTTAATTGTGTTTGTATTGCACCTGCGCTTTCTAGAGAGTACCTCGACTTGAACCATGGAGATTAATCTAGGGTTATCCAAATTAAGGTCTGAATGTGATCATACACTATCTTAACCAGAAATCGTCGGATGTCCTGAAAATTTCTAGATGTTTCTTTTAATTCGGACAAGATAACACAGCGTATTTTCCTCACTTGTCCCGAGGCTTATATCCCTGCGATGTGGGACTTCGGAATTTATCTAGAACGATTGTTTCCTTCTCCTTTAGTGGCAACTGATTGGGTTACTAATGGCGAATCTCACAACAATACTTCCAACCTCTTACCACGTACAAACAGCCACAAATCTCTCTTTCAAGTCCATAAAGACATAACACGGATGTGAATCAGTGGGGTTTTCAAAGTATTTTGGGCTGACAATGTCATCTTTATGACGGTATGGTGTATGGTATGGAGGAAAGCATATGATGTACTCCGTCATTTCAGTCGGGCTAAACTCAACTGGATATCTGTCTGTCGGACGTGCGCTTGATGTGAATGTTGACAAGGTGTCTAGCTGTCTATTACCCTCCACCTCGATTATACTGGTTCCAGGGGACTAAGAATCGTTGCCAGAGAGAAGGACGGGTTACATGATTCTCTTAGGCGTGCTATACTCAAATAGCATCTTCCTGCATGCAGTGGTGTACGATCTAGGGTCCAGATATCGCCTTGTGTACTTCGTTACGCATGATTCCCAAATTAGATAGACAATTATGCTGCTGCTGTGCATGTCAAAAGAGCGTGGGACGGCTCTGTTGATGAAACGCGGCTCCCATCCACATATCTCCCAGTCTCATTTCTTCGAGTTTACACAGAAAATGGAGTGCGTAGATGAACTTGTGGGTAGTGTAGCGCAAGCAATCCATGGTTTCTCTGTAGGCGCAGACATCCTCTGGCTGTCCTGTAGCGACAATAGCTTCAGGCAACTCCGGACACGGATGCAGCCAATCCATGGAGGAAAGAACCATGGTATGCAGCAGACCACAGCTTAGTTGTTTTGGCGGATTCAAGTGCTCATCGTTCTTTTCTGGCTCCACAGCTTCAATCGAAAGGTAAAATACCAACAGCTCATTAGAAAGGAACGAGCACTGAAAGCTACATAGGGATAGTTTGGATCTTCATGTGCGACAATATTTCTGATGCACTTATGCGATTCTTGCGTTAATCCTTAGTAGTTGCGTAATCTTTTTCCGCGTTAGTAGGACTGACTGTTACTCCTATGTTTAAGAAAGCTAGACTTCAATTTATTTAGTTAAAATTAGAACCGCACCACGCAACATGGATGAGATGTGAAACATCTGGGGTTTAGACATTTTGGCACTATGCAGCGCATTCGACAAACAATTTTAAACTTCCAACATATACGTAGAGCGCGCGTGGGTGACAACCTAAGCTTTGGGCATTTCTGTTGGTTTCCTTTCCAAGCTGGTGTTGTCATGAATTAGACTACTTCAAAACAATTCCGGTTTCCAATGTCACTTATCCATACCTGATGATCAACTGGGTTTCAGTGGGTCTTGGCGACTGTGAGATAAGGGAATTGTTTGATCAGTGAACAACTGCATGCCGATAAGTTTGACCACGTTATACATAGAAGAAGCTAGAGATGGACCTAGCATAAATCTAGCACAACCACAGTAGCTTTCCTCGATGTACTTTCTGGAGAGGAATTCAACTTTGGTATTCAAAAGATCGTATTACATAAAAATATGCATGATAATATGGTCGAAGCAAAGGGCACATGAATTATTTGCAATAGTTGTTTGACGTCTTCTCTAGTGAACGGCCAGCGGTTCCAATAAACCAACAAATAATGCACACAAAATCTGGCATTCACATCCCATTTAAATCAGTGAAAAGCCCATGGGCAATGAAGCTTCCTTTCCGGTTCCTGTCCATTCAACTTGTGCGTGAAGCTCGAAGAATGCGTCAGGTATATTGCGCCTTTTTTCGCTCGCCTCCCGTCAAACTTCTATCTGATTGAGGAAGTCGGCGAAAACCCACGGGAAATGTCAATTATCAAACAGGCTAGAGTAAGCAAACGCTACTGTCAACAAAGTTTACTCACACAGTCAATCGATGGATGGATAAACCAGGTACATTCGCTGGAATGAGCCAACTAGAGGAGAAACTCGATCAATGTGGCAAATGGATTCCCATTGTCTCCCAAGTAGAAAGAATGACCAGATACCAAACAAACTTATAGAGGACACCACAAAAACTGGACGCGCATTTAGCTAAGAGTTAGGTCCCAGTACGCAGCAGATTTTCAATTAGGTGCGGGGGAAAATGTTCCTTTGTAATTCGCATATGAATTGAAGGGTTTAGAGCTGGTAGGTAAACACACTCTAACCTTGCGGAGATGTTCATCAACCGTATCCAAATATGGTGACCATTGAAATTGCTCCAAAAACTTCCAGGTTGATCCTTGTAGCGATGGAAATTTCAACTCCAGCGGGTCACTTGTCCATGTTAGATTGTGCGATTTCAGACCTCTTGGGCTTTGTTCATCAGTATCACTTTCTGATAAATTTATGGCGTGCATCAAATTGACTGTCTCTCTGGCCGGATTCATCCATTCTTTGCCTAGCTTTTTGGATCGTTGTATTAGCCTGATAATCTTTAAGTGGCTGGACCTCTTATGCTCGTTGCATTCAGAAAGTTGAGCATCAATCATCTTCAGCTGATGAAAGGCACAAATGAGGCATATGGAACAATGTAGTATGGTTCAGGCGGTAATGCAACTACGTAAGACACGATCAGCGAAGCCAAAGATAAAGCATAAAAAGCCGGTAGTTAACCGTTTAACACTACAATATTTTATTGATTTCCTATCGTGCCAAATGCATTGTTCGGAGGCGCAAAAGTGAATATTCGTCGGCTCTAAAAGCAATATATTCAAACAGTGCTATCAGTCAGATCCGAGCGGTAACCAATGAGCAGCGTTTCGCGTCGTTAGATGCGCTTGAATAACTGATGAATTTCATGGGACAAGGGAATTATTAGCTTTTTTGTCAGGGTGGAATTAATGTGGCATGGGATTGGTTGTTATATATATATATATATAATAGTAAAAGAGATGCGACAGAATGACCGGAGGAAATCACACGCAACTCGAAGCTTTAAGGATGAGACGATTGCCAGTACTTGTGAGCTGAAGTACGTCGACGACGAGGTCCATGCTTATGACCTGGAGAAACCTTATGGAAGCTCCCTCCGCAGGCGAGGTCATAAATCAACCAACCTTAAATCTACCGGTAGCGTTTGAGTGCAAAGGCAGTGGCCCGAGAATATTAACATTTTACTTTAGTTCCAACAGATGGCTGTGAATTTAAGGTTTAGCTGGCATAAACTGTTGAACCCCCTAGCTTTGAACTACGCTTAAAAATAGCCATTAGCAAACTGCAGCCACGCGATACCATCGAGGAATCGATACCATCTGGGACTCAGAGTAACTACAATAGGAAGTCAGAAAACTATGTTCTCCTACCAGTGGCACTTGAGAACGCATTACAACCGGATCGAAAATTGGCACTGTTCTGTTCAAGAGCAAACTGTCAAAACGGTTAAGTGCTGGCCTTTCCTTGGTCGGCATATGTTTACCCCATTCATACACTCCTTGTCAGGCACTTACAACATAAGAGAATTGATAGTGGATGTACACTAATGTTCAGGGCTTACTGAGCAACTCGCCCTTAGCGATCAAAAGTACATGACCTAGCGCTATAATGGAGACGCTTTTGCATCCCGACATAAGTGACATAGAGGTCGCGTTGACCAGCACGTCCGCTGTTCTGCCCGACCGACCCGATATAAAAGGTGGAATAGCCCTATACTTCCTCAATGACTTTAAATGTGAGCCTTTGGAGGATCTGGTCAACACTGTGTAAAATGCCGTTTTGTTCGGTCGCATCTGAGAGAAAACCACTCTTGCTTGGTGGCTGTCGTTTTACTGCCCTTTGTCCACTCCCGAGATGGACTCCAATCTGTCATCCTCATTGAGGCGGGTAGTAAACACGGGGCAATTTTAACATGGACGCCCTGTAATCCCAACCCACGCTTAAAGAACAGCCCAGCGCAGAGTTTCAAGGGCTTGTTGCCAGTTTCCCACTCTATGCTCAGATAAGAGCTTCCACTAGATACTGAAATACAGATGGGAAGTCTATACTGGGTCGGAGACTCACCAACAAAGAACTGATGATCGAGTGGGCAATCATCAATACTCCTCTAAGCCGCAACAATCATGCAACCTTACTCTTCACGTACATCTGTTGTGAAAAATACCCAAGGGAGATTTCCCAAGCAAAGCGTCCACAACACGCTACAACACATTAGCTAGTCAAGTTGAAACGACTGCCTAACTTTTCTTAGCCTACGGTATACCAGATACTGCCAGTAAATTTTCGTCAACAAGTTTGGCAGCATGGTTGCTGTTGCATTGAAGACCAAATCGTTCGCTAGACGGTAAATCGTTAATACGAAGTAGAATACTTAAATGTATGGCAACTGGAAATGCAGCTTTGCACACTCCTAAAATCGACCCAATCTGAAACGGCTGAAAATGCTACGTCGTTCACTACAATCATTTTATACAGCTGGTGCGCGAGGACTAGATTGCATATCCACAGTCTTTAACTGTGGGATTTGTTTCGACACATAAACTACTGTACAACCATGTGTAAGACCTTGGCGAGCTAAACAAGGGACTTTATCCTCTTGTAATAGCGGACAAATTAACACGGACAGCAAAATGCAGCGAATATCCTGCAGCAGTAGGGGGCGCCGACTTCTCAATGTGCTTCATAGTATCCTGACACTGAAGCAGTATTATCGAAAACGTTTTCGCTAACACTGCCTTGTGACTATCTAATGGGCTTTTTTAAAGCTTATACAACGAAAACTGGATCCCCTGTGTTGAAACTGCTCAACGGATTTGTGAGCTACCGCACCAGGATTGTAAAGGCGGATATATGCCTCGGTTACCTCGAAGGCTGCATAGAAAGCAATGTGTACCCAGGTAACTATTAGAAAGCACTTTGTCATTATTGTATCAGATCAAATAGTAGATGATTGCAGCGTCTAGCACTGAGCCAGATGGATGCCATGCGTGCCAAGGTAGACGAATTAAAACGCTGTATGAGTCAACGGAATATGCAGTGACCTCACTCTAAATAGAGGATATGAAAGTTTGAATAATTGAATAAGGCTATCATCGTCAAATAAAAAACAAAGTTATGAAATTTGCTTTCGAAAAAGTTGAAAGATGAAAATCCTAGGAGGCTATTTCAAACCAAACCTGAGAGGTAAAGCATCGACTTATCACCCCTGGTGCTTGATCATATTACTGTTAAAGTTTGTCCTTGGGACCCACGTTCTGCTTTCCTATCGAAAGAGATATCAGATTAGCCGTTAAGGCTCAGTTCCAAAACTTATTCTCGCAGACCTCACAATTAGTTCCGTTCTCCAAGCTACACGCAGAAGCTTTTAACTCGTCACTAGTGCACGCCTGTTACCAAGATCGTCGTACTCGGATAACACACAGTACGGAGCACATCAAGCTTGTTGCTAATGATGAGGTATTGATTTCCAGACCAGATAAGGATTTTAGTATTGTCATTATGAACAATCTGGACTACCTCAATAAGATAAATGACACAATGGCAGATCCGAAGAAGTTTTTTAAGACTGTGGGCGAGGAAGACGTGACAAAGCAATTGGAGAGGCATACATGCAACGTCCAAAATAAGTTAAAAATGAGGGTTATATTACTACAGAGATTTGTGATTATGTGCGCCTTGTTGGTAAATTTATTCCCAAGGTCTAACGTCTTCTCAAAACACATAAACCAAATGTTCCGCTGAGGCCAGTTTTGGATAGGAAGGATGCACCGTACCACTCTATCGCAAAGTAGCTAGTGGTGAAACTTGAGCCCATCGGAAAGTGGATAGCAGTACACAATCTGAAGGATAGTTTTGGATTCGTAGGTGCCATAAGAGAGGTAAATGCTTCGGGTCTGACCATGTGCTCTCCGAATGTTGCCATTTTGTACAGAAACGTGTCCCTAATCGAAAGAATAAGTTACATCTGAGAATACGTCGACGGAAGCCGAATCCACATCGGCATGCTCATAATGGCCCTGGAGAAATTGTTGCTTAGATGCAAATTTAACGTCCAACTAATATTTAACGGGGAGAAATACCAGCAGAGAGATGCAATGGCGATGAGTTCCCTACTTGGGCCAGGACTCGCTGATATTTTCATGAGGATAATTGAACAAGAGTGTTAAAAAGCCACCCTACATATCTCAGCGTCTACTTCCGTCATTTTGTTTATACCTTTGTGATGTTTCACTCCAATTATCCTATCACAGATATTACCGAAACTTTTAACCGCGCCAATAAAACGATCCATTTTACTGCGGAGATAGAAGACAATGCTTGCTTTCACTTTCTTGATGTGTGTCTAAAGAGGCTCGATAGCAAAATTTCACAGCTTCAGTTACATAGATGGGCACCTGGAACGGCCAGTACACTAACTTCCACAGCTTCTTTCCAATGAATTTGAAACGGGATTTACTTTTTGACCTAGTCAGTCGAGCGGAAACAATCTGCTCGCATAATGCACTTTTAGAGGAACTACAGCGCATATGCGTGATGCTGTAGGAAAATGGCTATTCAGATCGCTTCATTTACGTGCACATGGAGCAGAAGAAGACACCATTAGTTTTAGCCGCTAACAAAAATCAATGTTCCTAAAAGTTCCATGAGCAAGGGACATTATGGTTGAAATTCTTAACCGTCGTCTATCGCAGCAGCTTAGACGTACGTTCCCGGCAGCAAAATTACAGACACTTCTCCAGCACATCGACGGTGATTCTCAGTCTCAAGGACAGGAGACCTGTCTAAGACAACTCCATGGGTATCCAATCATTTATCAGTCCTTATGGAGCAGGATACATTGGTAGTACAACTAGGCTTTTATCCGATAAAGTGAAAAAGCACCGTCCCGCATGGCTAACGGCTAGAACCAGAAGATTATTCAGCTCCTACCTAGCTGCCCCCTCTCGCCGACACAGAGCATAACCCAAAACCAGCCAATGCATTCAAAATTATCTACAGGGCCCCTGATAATCAATCGAGGTAAATACACAGACGGATGGTGGAAGCCAATGAGGCCATCGAAATTTGACAGCATGAATCAATACATTCAGAAGCGATTCATTCAGACCTCAAAACTGCCCTGGCCCGATCGACTTGTGACCATTATTCAGCTGGATCGCATGCAGACCCAGACATTGACGTAATCAATAGCAATAGCTGAGTTCTTCTAAACAATGGTTTAACCCCTTTTTTAACCAACATGTAGGTGTATTATGCCACCACGAATACTTATTCATATCCCCTTTGCGGTAGACACTGTGATGAGAAAAATGTTATCTATGCGCTCGCATATGTTTTCCGGAATTGATGATATTCCCCTGAAGCAGCTTGGTAGCCAAGCAATTGGCTGAATCTCTGATACGATTATGTCAACACTGCCTTGACCAGATGCATGTTCCCACAACATGAAAACATAGGAACATTATTTTGTTTAAAAAGGAGGCACTCGTTCCGATCCAGCTACCTACCATCCAGTGACTCTGCTACCAACTTTTCAAAAGTCATGGAGGCTAACATTGCTGAC